TTTTTTAAATCAGGACTAATACACATTAATCTTATACAATAAATATTAAATAAATATATATAGTATTATAAATAAATTTTTAAATAAAAATAAACTAAATAATTATACACTAAATTACAATATTACATAATATTGTAATTTTTAATTTTTAAATAATTTGTTAAGATTTTCAAAATATTATTATTTTCAAAATATAAATTACACAAAAAAATTTTAATGTCTATTACTTAATTTATTAAATTTAAATTTAAGATTTTATATAAATAATATTTTCACCCAAATTTATCATTTTATTTTATTTATATTTTATTAAATAAAAAAAATTAAATTATCAAATAAATCAAAAATTCAGGTCAAATGTTAAATCTCTTGCCATGTAAGCATGACATGGCAATTTTTTGCCATCCAAGCAGCAAGCGGGGTGTGTCCTCAACGACAGTTAAGTCAGGCCGGCAGTCCCAAACGGCAGTTAAGTTGGGGTAAGAAGAAGGGCTTAATTGCTTTGATCCCCGAGTTCAAGGGCTTATATGCATCAATTACAGTCTAGGGGCTTAATAGCGATTCTGGGGTTGGTTCAGGGGCTTAACTTATGGTTTTGCCTTGATTGTAACGGACTTGGGCTACTTTTGGACAGTTGAAGCTTGAAGCGCGCAACGAATAATTGGGTTGATTATTCAATATACAATGAGCCTGGTCCTGTGGTCCTAGACTGCTAGTCTTGATCCATACCCAACCTCAAAATTCTCATTTCTATTTGGTTTAAGTACCATTTTGGTCCCTCAACTTTTCACTTTGGCACCAAAATTGTCCCTCACCTTTAAAAAGTACCAAAATTATCCTCAAACTTTCATTTTTAGTACAAAATGGTCCTTCCGTCAGTTAAATGCCAGGTGGCACGTTAAAATGCCAGCAAATCAATTCTTTTTTTTTTCTTAATCATGACATGGAAAAAAAAACATATTTTTTTATGAGTTGGCATTTTTAATTAATTTAAAAATAATTATATCTTTTTCTTTTATCCACGTCAAAAATAAAACATTTTTTCTTTCTCTTCCTCTTTTACTCTCTCTTCTCCCTTCGTCTTTCTCTCTCAAACCCAGATCTGGTTTTTCTCAAACCCAAACCCAGATCTGGGTTTTTCTCAATTTGGTGAAAATTCATACATTAAAATGAAAAATACAAGTGATAAACAACATACACCATACATTTTTTTCACAAACACCACACACAAATTCATGATGAAGCAAGCTTCGCATTGGCTCGGTTTGTGCTAGACCCCTGCACGTGGCTCCGGACGCGTCAAAGTCGGTACTTGTTCCTCTTGCTCTACTCTCCTATCCTCCTCCCTTTCCTCTGCGCAACTTTTCCTCTACTCTGTGCCACGGAGTTCTGCTTCTGGGTTTTTCACGAGAAGACGAGAAGGAAAGCAGTTGCACGGCAGTCAACAAACGAGGAGGAGCGGCTGAGGGGATGCAAGGAGGGGTGTGGGTGAAATAATGAAGGGGAAGAAAGTGAGGTGGGGTTGTTGCTCAAACCCAGATCTGGGTGTTTCTCAAACCCAGATCTGGGTTTCACAAATCTGGGTTTTCTCTAGTGATTTTGATTGTGGTTTTTTCTTTGTAACTTTGAAAGTTGAAACGTCTCTGCCGATTTTGGGTTGTCACTATTGTTGTCTTTAATTGTTGACATTTTTCTGCGCTAAGATTGAAACTTGTTTGCTTTCCTAGAAAATTTGGCTCGTTTTCTTTCTGGGTTTTCCTTCTTTGATTCCTAGAAACTTTTTAATTCCTCTTTTCTTGATTCAAGAATACCGCTGCATTTTCTGGTCCAATCGCGTGCATTTTCTGATTCAATACTCTCCTTTCTGTTTCCTATAATTGTTGTAAATTCTCGAATTTTTAGATCTCGAATCGGTGCCGGTGGTGAGAGTTGATAATGGCTGAGAAAAGTAAGGCTGATCAATTGGCTTTGAGGTGTACGTCGCCCAGAATCTGTAGACGTGGGTTTGAAACCCAGATCTGCGATGAGATCACCTTCTTTTGAAACCCAGATCTGGGGAGGAAGAAGGGAGAAGAGAGAGAGAGAGAAAGAACAAGAAGAAGAAAACAGAAAGATGATCTGAGTTTGATTTTAATTTTGCAGGAGTAGTAGTAGGTTTAGGGTTTTGAATTTGAAAAGGAAATGAAAAGAAACGAAGATAATTGAACTGTAATTGTTGGGGAACTTGATTGAAACTGGAAAAAGAGAAAACAAAATTTTTATGTGGGGGCCACTAAAAAAAAAGTGAGAAGATGACAATTTGACGCGTAAAAAATGACACGGTGTCAAAAATGTCCTTGCTGGATTTACACATCATTAAAATAAAAAAAAAACCAGTAATTTTGTGGCATTTTAACGAGCCACCTGGCATTTAACTGACGGGAGGATCATTTTGGTACAAAAATGAAAGTTTAAGGATAATTTTGGTACTTTTTAAAGGTGAGGGACGATTTTGGTGCCAAAGTAAAAAGTTGAGGGACTAAAATGGTACTTAAACCTTTCTATTTTCTACTTTCCAGGGAGGCCTTGACCAACAAAGAATGGAAACCTTTACGTCCAATTTAAGAATTGGAGCATATTTTTGCCTCTGACCGCAAGTCCTTGAAATTGGGCCCACGAACCTCAGCAACAACCT